CCTTTACTGAACCCGAACTTACCGTGAACAAACGTCCCAGGATCATAGCTTTTACCAAACACCGAAGAAAATAAAAGCATTCTGCTGACTGAAAGGAACCCTTATCTGGGTTCGCGAAACCTAGCCAGTCAGCCGTGCTTTGACATGTCTGGATTCCAAACACGCGCGTCTCCAGGCTGAGGGAGATGGCCACGGCCGATACGGGAGGGACCACCGTCAAAGGGCCCAACTGTGCGCGCCTTGCGAACCGAACGGGTGGGCGGCTAGGCTGCGGGGCGGACGGTGGTCCGGGACGGCCAAGCCTGGCGAAGCCCACTCCCGCCGTGCGAGGAGGAGGGCGTGCTGTAGCTCTGGGCGGTGGGAGAGAGAACACGCGCCCCATCCTCCCTCTCTCTCTCCCTCTCTCTCTCCCTCTCTCTCTCCCTCTCTCTCCCTCTCTCTCTCTCTCCCTCTCCCTCTCTCTCTCTCCCTCTCTCTCTCCCTCTCTCTCCCTCTCTCTCTCTCTCCCTCTCTCTCCCTCTCTCTCCCTCCCTCTCTCTTCCTCTCTCTGCCACTGGCGGGGCCCACACGTCTCCTTGCGTAAGGTCGCTGGTGCGTTATGTAAAGACACGCCACGCGCTGATTCGACAGTTTCTTTATTTATGTTGCGCGCCTCTGCCTCCGCGCGGTCACAACACACTATGGCGGAGTAAATAAAAGAACTGTCATGAATGACCGCCATCATAACTATTTGATCGCCGGCGAAATGATGACATCAGTGACGGCTAAACTGCCGGGGCTGTCGTGGAGTCCGTACCGTCCTGCCGCCATGCCATACACGGGAGAGCAAAGGCATACATGAGCCGGCGGTAGTCGCATCACCTGTTATTGTTCTCTGCCACCCGTACATCATAGCACCAGGTGAAAACAATGATGATCTCCAGACAGTCCTGCCAAAGATGTTCCCGGTGATCCTTGCGCATATGGTTGATCCAGTTTTATGACGACACCAGTAGTGATCATCTTGTAACTAGAGAGCGATACGATGAACTTGGCATGACCTTGTGACCTTCATGGTGAACGTATAGTCGTAATGACCACATGGTCGGCTCCGTATGGCTGATCTCGTTGGTATTCAGGGACACGCTCAGGACACGTCCAGGACACGGCCCCTCATTATTGCCAGGCCGTCCATACACGTTTGACTGGCGTTTCCGTTTCCGATAATCGATCATTACGGGGCATTGGAGCGTCTAGACAACAAACGGCCTAACTCGGACCAGTGTGTGTGTGAGAGAGAGAGAGAGAGAGAAGAGAAGAGAAGAGAAGAGAAGGGGGGGGCAGGACTGGGTGTGAACGGTTCATCGCCCCACCCTATCACCTGCCGCCAGTCGCCAGCCCTGCGCGTCTAGCGACCCACAGTCACAGTGTTGGTGACCCCCGGAGTGCCCTTCTCGATGCCCGCTGGCGCCTGTGCTCCTGCCAGGGAGGTTCAGGTCGTTCAGGTTCAGGGTTCCAGCTAGGGTGAGACCACTCGTAGGTAGACCCCCAATGATAAACTTCTCAAAAAATTAACGCTGCCAGCGCTTCGCGCAACAAACAGATCCACCAGAGTCCTGGACATGACGTATACGCCTTCCAGAAGGATCGTTTTGTCGACAACAAAAGAGTCATGGAGCCGAGGTGTCCATGGTGCTCGACGCTGTTGTTGTTGGTCCGGGGCGACGCGAGCGCAGAGGAATAAGGTGCGGCGACGGCGAGTTGAGCAGAGCGAATCGGGCAGACGTCAGGCGGGGCGGCCCGGGCCAGGCCGCTGACATCACCTCCTCCTCCTGGGCCTGGGGCCCGAGGACCTGCCCGCCCCGCCCGGCCGTGGGAGTGCGTTGGGCACTGCAGGGCCTCACGGACCTCCACAACACCACACGGTCCGGCCCGCCCTCCGCCTCACGACGGAGCAGGCCTCTTTGCCGCGCATTGCTCTAATGAAGCTCGCTGGCGAGGCAAGAGGCGCCCCCAAAAACAACAGCGGTTAACGATCCACCGAGGTTTGCCAGCCGCGCGCTTACCGAGTGCAAAAAATAACCCTGCCCTGCGCACTTTACATACGGCAAATAGTTATATTTCCTCAAATTAGTAAAACAAACAAACAAAAAAAGGCTTGTGATTATTTTTGCAATACCATTGACATCATCATCATCATCATTACCGTCATTATAATCATTTCGAGGTCTCACCGCGACGCGGCGCCTCCACAGCGCGCCGCACCACGCCACACATACCAGCGCTCAGTGCGCCGTACTCTACTCGCTCCGCCCCGTCCACTGCGCGATGAATGACCCCGGGGCG